ATAATAATAATAATAATAATAATAATAATAATAATAATAATAATAATAATAATAATAATAATAATAATTTATATAGTTTGCTTTGAAACTTTATATTTCAGTTCGATAATGTGCAATCTGACGTTAACTGATGTGCAATTCGTATAACACTTGTGTGTATTTTTTTTAGCATTATTGTGTAGTACAGTGAGCGATTATTTTTTGTGCATTTTTCTCAATTTTAGAAAGAGTTAATAGTGTGTATTGCATTTATCGTATTATTTATATAATAAATATAGAAATATATTATTTTATACCATTGTTTGTTGAAAATAAATAATACACATACATAGACAAAATATCAATAATAATATTTTTATATAGTTTGGTCGGTTCTTTTCATTCGATTTTTTTTAAAAACTTATTTTTATTTAATTTTGTAAATAAAGCCAACCAATGAACCAAACTAATAGAATTTTGTAATATTTGTGAAAAAATGCACACTAGCATAACAACATTTTTTTTTTTTATCACGAGATGTGCATTATCAAATCCGTTATTGTGCGTTTGATCAATCATTATTGTGCATCCTGATATTTACTAGTGTGCATCTTAATTATTATGTTTTGTATTATGCAGTGCGAGATTTTTTTTATGTGAACTGAAATAATTTGGTTATTTGGTTAGTTAAAATTAATTTATTATTTATATTATAAAAATATAATTTATATTTTAATATTTTTATTTAATATTTTATCTTATTTTTGGTTTAAAATACATAAATTATATATGTATATAAAAATATATACAAAATAATATGTTTTTATATATTTTCTATAAATTACAGATTTGACCCATGAGTTAATTAGTAATATAGTTAAACATTTCCAAAATTACAGATTGACCCCAGTGGTTTATCTGTAATTATCTAAAACTTTTAAAATTGCAAATCAGTCCTTAGGACTTATCAAATTTCCAAAGTGAAGTTCCCATCTCGAAAACGTTTTTCAGCCGTCTCCAATGCCGGCACCAACAGCCGATCACCCGCCCAACCCCAAAACGACAATGGAGCTCGACTGGTGGCGCCATTCCTCAACTTCGATGCTGAGTCGATGACCCCGACGTGCGCTGCTGCCGGAGACCGATTAGCGCGGTCTTCGATCGGCAGCGAGTGGCGGATGGAGGTCGAAATCCGTTGCTCACGGCCGGAGATGACAAGAGCAGGTCGACTGAGAGTGTGATGTGCTGCGGTGAGGGAAGGTACAACGGAAGTTGCAGAGGCGGTGGCGCGGCGGTGGAGACGGAGGCGTGGCAGAGGCGGAGTCGTGATGGATGGCTGAATGTTCGCCGGCGAGTTTGTGTTGTGTGTGTGTGTGTGTGGCATACGTGTGTGTACTGTGTGTGTAATGCGTGTGTGTGAGAGAGAGAGAGAGACAATGTGTGAGAGAGATAGAGATGATGAGGTGTAATAATGGGTAGTTGGCAGATTTTTCAAACGTGTATTAATGTGTAGTGGGACTCACTTCTTTGAATATGGTGTGGAAAAATACACAATACCCTTAATGAAGGTATAATTTTGATTTTTATTTAAGATGTTGGATCATTCAATCCTATAGCTCATATTTATTCTCATTTCTTTCACGAAGACTATTCTTACTGGAACCTAACCCTATATATATATATATGATGTGGTTCAAATGAGAACCAAGTCTTAGCGTGAGAACTGTGAGAACCGCTATTTTTAATTGTACCTAGTGCGATGATTGATTGTGTTTTATTGCTATTTTTAATATGGCTGTATTTTATTAAAAATGATAGCACAATTTATATTAGTATTTGTGAAAATGATAGCACCATGTGATGTTAAAAATAGCATCATTGATTGGTCGGAAAGAGTGCATATTTATATATTTATTAGCGTATTTTTATATGCTTAATTTTATCGCACTTATATTGTTTTTCGACTTATTTATTTATTAGATGGATTGTGGTGCTTTGATATTTTTATGGTTTATTTTTAGGATATTGGAGTGTTTTTATGGACGACGAGACGTCGAAGGAAGGTTGAAGCAGACAGTACGGGGGTGCCCCATATTCTGCTACCAACAGAGCTGGTACCCCATACTCGGGCCAATATTGTTCACATATTTGGACGCAATTGTTAAAGAATTAAATAAAAAGCCCAATTTTAAGGGAGGCCCAAGGAAATAAACTAAAAGAGAACATCCAAGGGTTTAATACGCAGGCCTAGAGTATCATTTGGAGGACACTTATTATTTATTTAATTGCTTGGAGAAGGAATATACACGCAGCCACCAAGTCACATTATAAAAAGAAAATAGCAGCAAGAATTATAAAAGGAGGAGAACTCACGCACAGCAGCCATAATTTTATTCACGCAAGAGCAAAAAGACGCAGACAGAGGAAAAGTACAAGGAGCCCGATCAATCGCGGAGAGAGGCCGCACCCGCACACGAGGGAGATAATTAATCTCTCTCTTTTATCTTTTTATTTTTATTTATTATGTTAGAGTAGTTTTTATTTCTAGTTCCGGTGATGTTGAACCCTACGACTTGATGATGTTTGATTGATTTTCTTGGTTGATAATTTTAATGTCTTTTTGGAATTGCTTGTGTTATTTTGAATAATTCACCATGATGTGTTAGTCTTGTTTAGATTGATCACCTAGATTAGGCTTTTCATATCTACATCTGAATTAGGCCTGCAATCCGTAATTGTTGTTGTGTTTAATTCATAAGAGGTAACCGGAAGATGGTAACTACCGGGGATAACACGGCCTAATTAAGTGAACGAACGTGGTTGAGTTCACTAATTAGTCTAGCCTATTTTTCTAAATCGTAAAGCGGCTAATTGTATTAAATCTTGAAAACGTTTTTCTAGACTGTACAAGAAGTCAGGTTTAATCGTAGAGCGTCTCGCGGTTAAATTAAAAATAAGGAAAAATTCGGGTAACTGACCGTGTCGTTGCCTAGGGCTAGTAATTTCATAAGATAGCGAGATTTGATACCAGAATTGATTAGACGAGTCAGTCGAGGGTGTAGACAGAACCGTGAACTAGGAACTTCTCTTTAATTATTTATTTTTATTTTTATTTTCTTGTTTAAATTTTATTTATCTCATTAGATATTTAGGTAGTTTAGTTATTAAATCAAAAACCCCCCATTTATCGCTTTTTATAATTTCAATTAATACGAGAAAATTCACGATTTGATTCACACTCCTCGTGGGATCGACCCTTGCTCGCCACTACTACTAGTTAGTAGGGGTTAGTTGAGGAAAAATATAAATATTAATTTTGCCGCGTTGCGACGCGCGGTCAAATTTTGGCGCCGTTGCCGGGGACTGGCGTTATTGAATTGTGATTTTTTTGAGTACTAATTGAAGTTTAATTTTTTAGGATTTTATTTTTATCATCTTTTATTCCTCTTTTACTTGTTTTATTTCTTTTATTTTCGCGCAGAATACAGGGAGACCCCGTACTCTGCTTGACAGATTAGTTCGCCCCCATACTCTTGGGAGTAACTTGAGTTTTGGCGTTTTTGATCGAGCTTAGCGCAACTTTTCGAGATGGCAGCCTATTATCACGACTTTTATACCCACCGTGAACCTTACCAGTATGAGAGGGAGATACGAGGCCCGTGGATTGGAGATAGAGGCGTTAGAGGACCTAATGGCTGGCGAAGGTACGAGCAAGACTACATGTATCCCGAGGAGAACGAGTACGGCTTGAGAGAGCACTCGAACTCTTTCCATGGGTACTCTGAGCCACCGATTGCGCGAGATCCCAGCCCATCGCTAGAGGATATGGTGAAGGCAGTAGAGGCTCACACGTTGAGATTTCGGCAAGAGTATTGCGAGCCATTTGTTGAGAATGACCCTGGTCCGTTTCTCGAGGATATGATGAAGGAATTGACGTTGAACACCTTTAACTTTCAGCAAAGTGTTGAGACGAGCCTCAAGAGCCAAGAACTAAGCATAAAGAATTTAGAAGGCCAAATGAGCCAATTGGCGGACCAGATGGACCGACTAGTGTATCGGTTGGAAACGAGTCTAATGAGTTCAAGCGTCATCCATTCGTACAGCGAGGACCTCGAGGAACTTGAAGAGTGCATACACGAGCCGGAGAACGAGAAAATCATGAATATCGAGAAGAATGAGAGCGAAAAAGAGAACCCAGCTGCAGAATATGGGGTTGAGCAGCAGAATACGGAGGTACCCCATACTCGACCTGCTGTAGCCAAAAACCGTACCATTCTTCCCGCTCTTGTGCCGATAGAAGGTAAACCGTGTCCTATGTATTCTAATATGAAGTGGGTACTGAGCAAGGATGCACTGAAGCATGTCTTGGGACTTGATATACCTTCTCTTGAGAAGATCGAGCAAAACGAAAGGTGTGAATGGGATTTTATTGAGGCGGTGACCGTGATCGAGCGTGGGTTGCTACACATCCTTGAGGAATTAGCGTCATGGAGGAAAGATCCAGTGAAGCACCCAACGCCGGAAAGAAGAGATGTCGTCAAACATGGCGTGGTGAGATTGGTGCCTCCCTTGAGGCCACCTCGGAAGCCACCATGGATCCTTCGATGAAAACGAAGCAATAAGTCGGGCCGACGACAATAAAAAGAGGCGCTTGTTGGGAGGCAACCCAATGGTGTGCGTGGTTCGGCGACCTTCCTCTGCATTGACTAAGGTGAACTCGTTTCTTTTACCTCCGTTTGTATTTCTTTTGTGTTTATTTTAGTGTCTATGATATATGCAAACTCTAATTTTGGGGAGGTGGTTTCTTGGTGAACATTCATGTTTTATTATGTCATTGTATTTTTGCCCCTTAGAGTTTGAGTTCTTAGATTAATTTGCATGATGTTTGTCTTGTGTGAGCGTGAGATTGCATGTACGTGGAATTTTACGATGATGACATGAGAGTCGGTTTGGATATATTGTGCTAGTTTAAATGGCTTGAGTTAATTTTATTTGGTTAAATTCTTAAGGTGTTTTTATTTTGGGGACAAAGGCATGATGGTTAATATTTTTGTGATTTATTTGTAGTGAGTTGGTTTTGAGGCGATTTGTATTGTTGATATGTGCTTTTGATTGCCTTAATTAATGTTGATTAAGTTTGGGGACTCGAAGTTGAAAGTTGGGGTTTCTATGTCTCATAGTCGAAAAAAAAGAATAAAGAGGATGGAGGAATAATTGGTGGAGTCGAAAAGCCGTTTGGCACAAAAAAAAAAAAAAAAAAAAAAAAAAAAAAAAAAAAAAAAAAAAAAAAAAAAAAAAAAAAAAAAAAAAAAAAAAAAAAAAAAAAAAAAAAAAAAAAAAAAAAAAAAAAAAAAAAAAAAAAAAAAAAAAAAAAAAAAAAAAAAAAAAAAAAAAAAAAAAAAAAAAAAAAAAAAAAAAAAAAAAAAAAAAAAAAAAAAAAAAAAAAAAAAAAAAAAAAAAAAAAAAAAAAAAAAAAAAAAAAAAAAAAAAAAAAAAAAAAAAAAAAAAAAAAAAAAAAAAAAAAAAAAAAAAAAAAAAAAAAAAAAAAAAAAAAAAAAAAAAAAAAAAAAAAAAAAAAAAAAAAAAAAAAAAAAAAAAAAAAAAAAAAAAAAAAAAAAAAAAAAAAAAAAAAAAAAAAAAAAAAAAAAAAAAAAAAAAAAAAAAAAAAAAAAAAAAAAAAAAAAAAAAAAAAAAAAAAAAAAAAAAAAAAAAAAAAAAAAAAAAAAAAAAAAAAAAAAAAAAAAAAATGGAGAATGAGACATTTAGACTTTGGCTAGAAACGGAAGGGAACTTGACTTGTTAGCAAAGAGAGGGGTGTCATGAGTTGCATTGATCGGTGCATTCGTTATAGAGATTGACAAACTATGGTGGTCATTTGAATTGATACTTGATTGTTTGGGTTCTTAAAATGATTTCATCTTGAGTCCGAATATATTGATTTGAGTTGTTTGAACTATGCACTTATGTGAGAATTGTGAGGCCCTGAGTAAAGTTCCACGTACTTGTTTTCTTGTCCATCGTTGTGCATATAGTTCTAAGTTGCTTGAGGACAAGCAATGGTTTAAGTTTGGGGAGATTTGATTGGTCGGAAAAAGTGTGTATTTTATATATTTATTAGCGTATTTTTTATATGCTTAATTTTATTACACTTATATATTTTTCGACTTATTTATTTATTAGATAGATTCAAGTGCTATGATATTTTTATGGTTTATTTCAGGATATTGGAATAATTATAAATAATGACCATGATATTAATGAGTGGGCCTAAAATGAATAAGCCCAAATCATAAAAAGCTTGTGGAAATTACTTGGAGCAGCATTAGAATTGGTGGGCCATTCACGCAAAGGATTTAATTGAGGAAACTTGAATATGCCTAGGGGATGATTAAAATAGTTGAATGCGAATGAATTGAGGGGCATCTGGACGCAGCCGCAAATCAAAGGGAATTATTTGCGAATAGAGAAAAACAGAACAGAAAAAAGGAAGAGCCGCAGGAGAAGAGAACAGACGCGAGGAAGCCGATCAATTGCGGAGGGAGGCCGCACCCGCACACGAGGGAGATAATTAATCTCTCTCTTTTATCTATTATTTATTTTTATTTATTATGATAGCTTAGGTTTTATTTCTAGTTCCGGTGATGTTGAACCTTACGACTTGACGATGTTTGATTAATTTTCATAGTTGATTATTGAGTTGTCTTTTTGGAATTGCTTGTGTTATTTTGAATAATTCACCATGATGTGTTAGTCTTGTTTAGATTGATCACCTAGATTAGGCTTTTCATATCTACATCTGAATTAGACCTGCAATCCGTAATTGTTGTTGTGTTTAATTCATAAGAGGTAACCGGAAGATGGTAACTACCGGGGATAACACGGCCTAATTAAGTGAACGAACGTGGTTGAGTTCACTAATTAGTCTAGCCTATTTTTCTAAATCGTAAAGCGGCTAATTGTATTAAATCTTGAAAACGTTTTTCTAGACTGTACAAGAAGTCAGGTTTAATCGTCGAGTGTCTCGCGGTTAAATTAAAAATAAGGAAAAATTCGGGTAACTGACCGTGTCGTTGCCTAGGGCTAGTAATTTCATAAGATAGCGAGATTTGATACCAGAATTGATTAGACGAGTCAGTCGAGGGTGTAGACGGAACCGTGAACTAGGAACTTCTCTTTAATTATTTATTTTTATTTTTATTTTCTTGTTTAAATTTTATTTATCTCATTAGATATTTAGGTAGTTTAGTTATTAAATCAAAAACCCCCCATTTATCGCTTTTTATAATTTCAATTAATACGAGAAAATTCACGATTTGATTCACACTCCTCGTGGGATCGACCCTTGCTCGCCACTACTACTAGTTAGTAGGGGTTAGTTGAGGAAAAATATAAATATTAATTTTGCCGCGTTGCGACGCGCGGTCAATCATACACAATTAAAAATCTATACATATCTAAAAAGGTTTATGTAAAAATCATTTTTAGAAACCTAAAATAATTGAGTTGACTTTTGACTTTCTATTTATGTATTTTCAATCAAATTATGAAAAAAAAAAATCGTGATAAGGATGATGAAATTGATATTCCCGTTAATTAAGCATGGGATAATCCCATTAATTAAGCAAATGAAAGATGAAATGGATAGTTCCGTTAATTAAGCATTGTATATTCCCGTTTTTTAAGCAATGGAATTTGATAATCAATTGTGGCCATTTATATGAAATCTATTTTTTATGAAATCAATTGTGAGGATTTTTAGGAAATCTGTTCCATATTCCATTTAACAATCCTTATTTTACGTGAAAATAAATGTGTTGTTTCCTTATTTCACGTATGGATAGCAATGGAAGAGTTTTTGTTTCCTTAAATTGCGGATTATTTCTCTCCAAAGCTCTCATTTCCGAATTCTCACTGTCACCATACATTAAAGGAGCAGCAGTTCCAGCAATCAAACCCCACCTCTCCTCCTATGACGGTCATGGCGGCAGCGTAGTCGAACGGCACGTTGTCTTGCCTGAGCGAGAAGAGAAGCGAGCGGGAGGAGAACGACAACGAGATGGCGTTCAGCTTGCTGGAGATCGTGGCGACGGGGCAGATGGTGGCACTGAAGAAGAGGCGACTGGAGATGGACAAGGAGGGCGTGCCCCTGACGTCTTTGTTTCTTTTGGATCCTGCGGCTTCTATGGATTTGGTATCTTTGTGCTAAGTTTCTTGTGGCACTTCATTTTCATGTGTTTGTCAGCTAGATTTCATCTCTTTTTGTTCAGATCGTTTTGAAATTTGCAATATTTATCTGTTAGAGTTTTAATTTTCGGTANATGGGTGATAAACAGCATGACTTAGGATGAGAAGCAGAAAAGATTAATGTTTTCATTTTTCAACATTTATTTGGGTTGCTACTGAAGTTTTGTAGTTTTAGATTTTACTAATTTTAGGGGGTTTAGTTTGTTTTGTTTATTTACAAATTGAATAGAATTATTTACAAATTACTGATGTTAAAGTTATTTCACAAGGCTGATTCTCGAGAATATTATTTACAATATTGTACTCGAGATGCTTGCCCATCTGAATCTGAGACTACAGTTGAGAAGAACATTGATGAACTGGAAGCTGAGGAAGGTGAAACATCTAGAGTTGAGAATGCTGATAGTGTTGAAAGTGAAGATAATATTGTAGTTGATGACTCCCAATGTGACAATGTTGGTTTTCAAAACAAGGATGATGAAGATTTTGAGAATGACACAACAATCGGAGGTTCTGAAGATGTCCAAGATTTAAATTCGACCTTGGACAAACTTACAGTGCTCACATTGAAGCAGGCTACAGAGGAATCTATTTCAGACTTCACTGACCATTTGGATACTCCAGTGCAACTCAAAAAAGACGAGCATAACGTGGTAGAAGTTGTTCAGCTCGAAACGGAAAATGCTGCTTATATAATTGTTGATTCTAATTTTATTGACCATTCGGGTGCTTAATTATACAGATAAGTAGATAATAATTATAGTAAAAGAATGAAAAATTAATTTAAACAAAAAGAGTAAAATAATTTAATTATTGTAAATATATACAAAATCAAGTCCACAAATGCTTACTTGTGAATTAAGATTTTTTTTATCTAAATAGAAAGCTTAATTATACAGATAAGTAGATTAATAATAATTAAGTGATTAATAAATCTAGGGAAGGGGAAGAGATTTTGTTCCAATTGTAGACTTTATTAAAATTCAGAAATTTATCGTCTCGAGCCTCGGAAGCAATATCCTCAGTATGGCCGCTTTCAGAGATATCACTTTCTCGATCATCTTCTCAGTATATATGATTCAAAGGATGACCTAAGTATATATGGTTCAGAGGATGAAGATGAAGAGTTAAAAGGAGAGGACGAACGAGAAGAAGAAGTAGAGGACGAAGAAATTGGCTGCTTCCGAAATAAAAAAAATTATACATGTTTATTAGCTTTTAATAAACTGAGATATAAATATCCATTTACATTATTATGTTGACTATAAAATAATATATAAATTCATCCTATTTTATAAAGGTGTCTTCAATACATATCAATAGTATGCATTCAACTTCAAATCGTCTAATTTTGAATGAATTAAATTATGATCGAAAGACTCTCGCTGTTGAACATGATATACTTCTTAAGAAAATGACTAAGGAATAGAAAGGAGTATTAGCTGGCTCAATTTTAATTTATGGGGGAGAGCTAACAGGCTCAATTTTAATGTCCCGACCAAAAAATGACGCTGATGAAAAGAGGTGGAAAATAAACTATCCAACTCTATATTTTTTAGGCCTTAACGATCAAGCTCTATGGAAATGACTCATTTAATGTATCTGCCTCGTGCATCGCACGAGCTACTTAACGGATAAACGAAAAAATTGGATTATTTTATATTTTGACTTACTAATTTTGGAAATGCTATTGGAAATTTATATTTTGACTTACTAATTGTGAAAATGCTATTGGAATTTATATTTTGTGTTAGAGAATGGATATATGTTATATCGAGAATATCTATAAACTTTATATTTAAAATAAATAGTAGAATAGATAAAATCCGAATATCTAAACCATGAATATAGAATAGTTTCAAATATACATTGTGAAGATACGTGTTAATATAGGAAACTAACTAAATATATCTACTTATTAATCACGCCACTAAAATCTTTTGTTAAATCTATTTAAAATCCATCCTTTTGTTTTGTTAATCACGCCATTAACATCGGATATGGTTTGTTTATAATTTGGCATCAGATTTTCACGCAATTCATTTATCTTCACATGCCAAAATTGAGGAATTATTTGTGTCCATTCACGCGCAATTGCGTACAATATTTTTTGTTAATATCCATTCTCGCAATCAATACATATTTATCCTCAAATTTTTGATGCTAATATCCTACAAAAATTTTTCCCTATTTTTCGTTCCATTCACGCGCAATTGCGTTTAATCTTTTTGGTTAGTATCCATTCACGCGCAATCATCCCATGTATTTATCCTCATATTTTTTTGGTTAATATACTACAAAAATTTTTCCTTATTTTTAGTTCACCTAAACCACCAGATAAATACTGTATAAAAATGTATTAATTCATGCCTTTTTTTTTTCATCTCCTTCCCACGGTGGTTCATAAAAATATAGAGATAAATTGCTGCAAAACAGATATAAATAGCGCGGTTCTTTGATACCATCGATTCCGTCAATAGGATCAACAAACCTTTTCTGCGGTTGAGAATAGTCCGAATTATTGAAACGCATCACGATCGGGAACCATCGAGAAAGGTGTCCCCACTCGAATAATTGTTTTTCATTTGATTGACTTGGAGTAAGTATTTACTTTTTTTTATTCCCTTAATATCATTTTAATATTTGTATGTATTCAATTGAGATTCTAAATTATTGTAGGGAGAACAAGTTGAGTTGCACTCTTTGGAACGATTATGTTGAAGAATTCCTTCAACATGAACGACAACATGCTGGGGTTGATGGTCGCCCATGGATAATGATAATGAACTTATGTAGAGCAAAACCCTATGGAGGTATATATTTTCTATTTATTGTCAAAATATTCTATTGTTTTTATTTAATCAATATTGTGAATGTAGGTCGTGTCCAACTGACAACATGCTCATCGTTGTCGCATGTTGGTTTATTTCTTAAGAAGCCTGTGTTCAGCCATGGACAGTTATACGTTGATGTATCCCGTGTCACCACCCGAAGTGGTTTGAAAATTTTAGTTTGTGGTGACGATGACTCGACACCAAATTAAACGAGAAATGTTTTAATAATTTATGAATTTTGTAGTTTGCGCCCAACGTGTTTACTTTTGTTACAAATATAACAAGTTCACTAAATTTAATCATTAATATTTCTAAATGTTTAGAAATATACCATCCCGTGCATCGCACGGGTAATTACTAGTAGCATCAAATATAGTTCTCACACCAGCACTAGTTTTTATTTGAATCAGCTCTTATATAT